TTTGGGGATATTCCAGTTATTTTTCTGTTACTGATTTCTAGTTTAATACCATTGTGGTCTGTTACCCGTCACTGTATGATTCCTCATCTTTTAAATTTGTTGAGGTGTGTTTTATGGCCCAGAATGTTGTCTGTTGTGGTGAATGTTCCATATGAGCTTGAGAAGAATGTGTCCTCTGCTATTGCTGGAGGAAGTAGTCAGTAGTTGTCCATTATATTCAGTTGATTGATGGTGTTGTTGAGTTCAACTATGTCTTTTTTTTTAATGTTTTTTATTTCTGAGAGAGAGAGACAGCATGAGCAGGGGAGGGTCAGAGAGAGAGGGAGACATAGAATCTGAAACAGGCTCCAGGCTCTGAGCTGGCTGTCAGCACAGGGCCCGACACGGGGCTCGAACCCACGAACCATGAGTTCGTGACCTGAGCCGAAGTCGGCCGCTCAACCGTCTGAGCCACCCAGGCGCCCCAAGTTCAACTATGTCTTTAACTGATTTTCAGCTTGACAGGTCTGTCTATTTCTGATCGAAGTGTATAAAAGTCACCAGCTATGATAGTGGATTAATCTGCTTCTCCTTACAGTTCTGTCCATTTTTGCCTCATCTAGTATGATGCTCTATTGTTTTGTGCATACATGTTAAGAATTGTCACGTCTTCGTGGAGAACTATGTAATGTTCATCATCGGTGGTAACTTTTCTCTACTTTGAAATCTGCTCTGTCCGAAATCAATATAGCTACTCCCGCTCTCTTTTGATTAGTGTTTACATGGTATGTTTTCCTCCATTCATTTACTTTTCATCCATATGCATCTTTATATGTAGAGTGGATTTCTCATAGATAAGATATAGTTGGATTGTTTTTAACCCCACTCTAACAATCCCTGTCTTTTAGTTGGCACATTCAGACCACCGATTGACATTCAAAGTGATTACTGAAATAGTTGGATTAATATCGACCATATGCCTCACTGTTTCATATTTGTTGCCTTTGCTCTTTGGTTTTATTTTTATCTTCTACCCTTTTCCTGCTTTTTTGGTGTCTAGTCCTTTTTGTACAATTCTATATAATACTGTAAATATTTGTTCTTTTGTTTTAAATTACATAAGTGACATTTGTCTGTTGCAGAATAATTCAAAAAGTATAGGAACATCTGAAGGGAGGAAAAGTCATTAGAAAAAGGTGATCCCTGCCCAGAGGAGTCTTCTGCAAGCTGAGAGGAAAGATGGGAGGGGCCGTGAGGGTAGGGGTGCCGTGGCCCCCTCTAGGGGACCCGCTTCTCTTCGAAGACACAGTGCTGTCTCAGAAAGTGAGGGGCAGCGCCAGGAGAAGGAACTATGGGGGGTGCTGCACAAAGGGAATAAAACTGAGGAAAATAAGGTAATTTCCCCTTCTGTGTTAGGGTCCATTCCCTAAGAACGGCATTATTTTCAGGAGTCCGAGGCCCTTTGTGGGGCAGGAAGGAAATTAAGGAGGTCCCGAATAAACAGCTGCAGCCGAATGTGTGTGGCTCAAGTACAGTCCAGCGTTTACTTATTTATTTGTTTATGAGTGCTGTTTATCAACCTGCTTCTGGCTTGGACAAGTTTTTTTTTTTTGTTTTGTTTTTGTTTTTTTAAATTTTATTTTTAATGTTTTCTTTATTTCTAGGAGAGAGAGAGAGAGAGACAGCGCGAGCAGGGGAGGGTCAGAGAGAGAGGGAGTCACAGACTGAAACAGGCTCCAGGCTCTGAGCTGGCAGTCAGCACAGAACCCGACGCGAGGCTGGAACCCACGAACCGCGAGATCATGACCTAAGCGAAAGTCGGACGCTCAACCGACTAAGCCACCCAGGCGCCTCCCAAAAAGCTGATTCTTATATAACAACTTGTAGTATACATTCCAGAAGGATCAAATATTTAAATGTAAATAATAAAAACAAAAAAGAACTGGAAGAAATGAGTAAATATTTTAGTCATCTCAGGGTATGAGCAGTCTTTGTGAGCATGGCAGGAAAGTGGAAAATAAAACATNCTGAAACAGGCTCCAGGCTCTGAGCTGGCAGTCAGCACAGAGCCCGACGCGGGGCTCGAACCCACGAACTGCGAGATCATGACCTAAGCGAAAGCCGGACGCTTAACCGACTAAGCCACCCAGGCGCCCCATTGGACAAGTTGTTTTGACCCCCGTGGCTCATTGAGGCCACTTAGTACTGTTTACTTTTCTGGGAGTGATGTGTGCTACCAACAACCAAGTGCTTTGCTAAGGGCTGTGGGTTGAATGCAGGCAGGGGCTGGGCCTGCTCGGTACCGCCTCTCGATAGCCAGTATCTGATGGGCCTCCGCTCCACCCCTTCTCTGGGGAAGAATGAAACTTTCTTGACCCAGATCAACCTGGAGCCTTTGCAGGAGGAAGGAGTTTAAAGCTACCGAGAGCTTGAACGTTAGGATACATTTTCTAATTTGGACACCTGATTGCCACTTATGCAGAGACGCCCGGAAGGAGCAGTTCTTGACCTTGCCGTGCACTTGAATTTTTAGAAATGCTAGTGCCTGGGCTGCGCCCCAGATCTGTTCCATCGGGTGGGGTCCGGGCCCTGCTATTCTGTAAAGCTCCAGGGTTTGCCAAATAGATCCAGGGTCGAGAAGTCGTTCCTCCAAGGAGGAAGCTGCCTCCTGACCTGCCTCCAGCCTTTGCGGCGGCGGCTGAGAGTGGCCGTGGGCTGGTTAACAGAACACTGAAACACAAAGAGACCTAAATGTTATGACTGTAGTTACATTGTTTTCAGAGTTCCTTTTCTAGAGCACTGCAAACATTTGATTTAAATGTCACCATATAGATATTTCAAGTTGTCACAAAAAGAGTACACACAGTCAAAATGTTACACGCCAGATTTTAACATACTGAAAATAACGGAATGAGCTGCTTTCTCGATGCCTTTCAAGATTGTAATCAATGCCATCGACCAGAACGGATCACGGAAATTCACACACCACTTTGATCTGTGGATTTGGTTCCCACCCTTCATTTTTTTTTTTTTTTTTTTTTTCTGTTCCCAGTTTCTGGTGCTGAAGCCAAGATGGGGTTCTGGGTAAGATCTTGTTTGGAAGACAAGGTCCTCCAGGAATTACAGTGCACAAGCCTCAGGTCTTTCCTTGTAGGGTCTGTTTGAAAGCCTGTCACCTTGGAGATGAGATCTGCTTGCCTTGAGCACAAGCACTGCCCCCCTCCCCCTGCATGCTGCACCCCACAGACTGCTTTTAGGGCTGAATCCTAGTACTTGAGCTGTGCCGGCTGTTCACCAGCTGGGCCCACATCAGATAGGTTTACTCTGGGGCAGCTGTGCATCCTTTTTGGCAAGGGAGAGGGGAAGGCTTCATGGAGTGGAAGTGGGCTGCAGCTGTGGGTGGTCCAGAGATGCTGTCATTGTCTGGAGGCCATTGGAATGTCCTTGGGTGATCCTTGGCCAAACCCTACAGATCCAGAGCTGCAGAATGTTCCAGCCAGAAAGGGTTTTTAAGCTAGCCGCTCTTCCCGGAAGAGTGACTGTGGGCTAGACCCTGTGTCACGGGCTTTGCAGATGTTCTCTTCCTGAGTGTTTTCGTAACTCTGGGAAGTGCACATTATTATGCCCATCTTCCAGGTGAGGAAACTGAAGCTTGGAGAGGTTAAGTAACTTATCCAGAGTCACAGCTAGGCAAAGTCGGCATTAGCACATGTGCTGGTCCACTCCCAGGCCTTCTTAGAAATCATTTTAGGGGCACCTGCGTGGCTCAGTCGGTTGAGCGTCCGACTTCGGCTCAACGTTATAATTGCACGGTTCGTGGGTTCGAGCCCTTCATCGGGCTCTGTGCTGACAGAAGCCTGCTTTGGATTCTCTGTCTCCCTCTCTCTGTGCCCCTCCCTCCCTCACACTCCCCCCCCCCAAAAAAATAAGTAAACATTAAAAAAAATCATTTTATAGCTGAAGAGGTTCAGGTCTAGAAAGGAAAAGCAACTTGTCCAAGATGACACATCCCACCTCAGTTCCTGCCAGAGCTGTGGCTGGAACTCACCTGCCCCTTCTGCCTCGCTGCTGTGCTCCGCCGCTGCTGCTTCTGCGGGGAAGGAAGGCCAGGGGCGCGTGCCCCCTCCCCCCTGCTCAGTGGCTCAGGCAGGATCAGCGGTAGGCTGGCATGGAATGAGAGGGGAAACTCGCTATATTTCCTCACCCCTGAGTCTACTGGGGAGACCATGTTAGGGAGAGCATGGAAGGCAGAGGCGACCCCAGAGAAACACCCCAGGCGGAAGGTAGGGGGCCTCGTGGGGAATCAGAGCCGCCATCCTAAGGGCAGCTTTGCTTCCTTGTTACGGGTCCGCACTGTCAGCTCCCCCCCAAGCCTTTGGCAGCAGGTGGGCATGCGGATCTGCTTCAGCCCTGCACACTCATGCTCGTGTGCACTAGGCTTAAACCTGCAGGAGCCCAGCTCTGCCCCCATTGAAGGCAGGAAGAGGAGGTGAGGCGTGCTCCTCCACGTGCTGTCCCGGGAGTAGCTACATTCACAAACACAGGGTGCGGCACCGAAGAAGGGGCACCAGGACCTCACCCCCACCCCATCCCATCCCACCCCCACCCCCGCCTGCAGGCCCAGATCGTAAGACAGTTGCTTTCATTTGTTTTCATCTGAATGTGTGCCAAGGATTCAACTTTTCCTGCTCATCTGATTAAAACTTTACAAACAGCGTTAATAAACAGATATAAAATCGCTGCACAGATGACAGAGGGACTGGATGAAACTCCCGAGGGTCAGCCATTGCATAAGTAACAGAACCGTGACTTTGCACCATCTGATTTCCATATATGCAAATTAGGGACAGAGCTTTACCTAGCGAGTGTTTTAATTAATATTTATAAATCACAGAATGGCTCATAAAGGGCCAGTAAGCTATTTATACTCAGGTCATAGAAATAACAGAGCCTTTGAAGATCGCCACCTACTCCGCATTTTGGTGTGAATTGTAAGCGAGCCTGTTTGCGTGTCCCCGCAGGTGTGGTGCTGGCGCAGCGACATGTCGCCGTCCAGGAAGGGCCCCTGTACCGCACGGAGGGCTCCCACATCACCATCTGGTGCAACGTGAGTGGCTACCAGGGGCCTTCCGAGCAGAACTTCCAGTGGTCCATCTACCTGCCGTCGGCCCCGGAGCGTGAGGTGCAGATCGTCAGCACCGTGGACTCTTCCTTCCCTTATGCCATCTACACCCAGCGCGTCCGTGGGGGCAAGATCTACGTGGAGAGGGTCCAGGGGAGCTCGGCCCTGTTGCACATCACTGACCTCCAGGCCCGGGATGCCGGCGAGTATGAGTGCCACACGCCCAACACGGACGAGCGGTACTTTGGGAGCTACAGTGCCAAGATGAACCTAGTAGGTAAGGAGGTGGTGTTTCCATGGCCAGTGTCCCAACCGAGGAGGTCCGATCGGGCAGCTGTAACCAAATACCGCAGCCCGGTGGCCTCAGCAGTAGGCAGTTACTTCTCTCGCTCTGGAAGCTGTGAGTCCAAGATTAAGGTGCAGCACGGCCGACTCTGGTGAGGGTCCTCTTCTGGGCTGCCGACTTTTGACTTCCCGTTGTCTGCTCCCGTGGCAGAAAGGGAACGAGAGTCCTCGCCGAGGTCCCTTGCCAAAGGCACTGATCCCATTCATGAGGGCTCCACCTTCCTGACCTAATCACCCTGCAGAGGCCTCAGCTCCAGATACCCCATGTGCGGCACGGATTGGGATTTGCCATGTGGCTTTGGGGGAAATAAACATGGAGTCCATAACACTGAGTCACTTCATTAATAGCACACCTTTATTTCACTTAAAAAGAAAACACCAAAGTTCCCCAAATATTTTAGCGGTTAACACGTAGCATGAGTGAGTAAAGGTTGTGAGTTCACTTGTGAATAAGTAGAAGGTTGAGTGAGGCTAAAACTTACAAAAGCTGTAGTGCAGGTGTTAAGAGTTCAGAGAAGGCAGGGGGCACCTGGGTGCCTCAGTTGGTTAAGCAGTCCGACTTCAGCTCAGGTCGTGGTCTCATAGTTTGTCAGTTGAGCCCCACGTCAGGCTCTCAGCTGTCAGTGCAGAGCCTGCTTGGGATCCTCTCTCCCTCCCTCCCTCTCTCTGTCTCTCTCTCTCTCTTTGCCCCTCCTCTGCTCTCTCTCAAAAATAAACATTAAAAAAACATTCAGAGAAGGTTAACTGACCCTGTGGCTGGTGAAGGGGGATATGAAAACATAAGGCAAGGAGGTCTGTGGTTGTTGTCCTAAACAAATGCTCCCTGAACAATGGGCGGAGCTGGCAGTGGGGGACAGGATGGCACAGGGCCACCACACTCACGGACGTGAAGGGTCAACTCTCTGCCCAAGTCATAACTTCCAGGCATAGTTGGGATCATAAAAACTGGAAAGTCCAGACTTGTGGCGGAAAGACACAACAGCCTTGGTATTGTTGGTATTGTTGGCTGTCCTCATGCGTGAGTGTTGTAGCCCTTCACTGTCCACGCTGAACCCCAACCCCCCATGCCAGGCTCGCTGTTCCCGTCTCTGGGTCCATATCCCATTAGGAGGCCCGGGAGAGCCAGGCCAGAGGGGAGCGTGGTGAGGAAGCGCCCACCGGCACTGACTGGGGTGTCCCCACCGGGCCCAGAGGGGCAGTGGTTAGACTCCACAGTACAGTTCTGACCAAGGGGCCACGGGGCAGTGTCCTCACACGCCCGATCTATGGCTTCTTCCCAGTGCGGACCACTCTGACACATGAATTGTATGAAAAATCCAACCGGTCAGACAGTTGAGGACACTGTTACCTTCCTCTGCCAAAAAGACTTTCTGAAACCTAGGCTTCTTAGAGCGATGTGTTGCTGGTGAGACTCAGAGGAAGTGGGGGGTGCGATGGCGAGCTGGGAGGAGGTGAGCCAGGCACATAGAAATGTCAGCTTCTAGGAACGATTCCCTTTTGAAGATCGGCCAGAAGCCAAGTGAAAGTATCCCGAAGCAGTACCAAAACCACCAACAAAATCCCATCTGACCTAAAAAAGAGAATTCGTTTCACACGGTATTTTCAAGGGGGGTCATTCACTATGTGAAATGAAATACATCCCACTTGTTATCCGAGAGTTATTACAATACCCGACAGGTGAGTGTCAAAACATTGCAGCCCCAACCCAAAGAGAAATCTCCTTCTGTTTCTGTGCCCCCCAGGGTCACCTGTGGCCTCAGGGCGATTGCAGCAGGCTGGGGGGGGGGGGCAGGCTGGGGAGGGGGGGTGGCCGGCCGTGAGCGTGAGATTAGATCTGCGGCTCTGTGACCCATGTGCTGGCACCGCTTCTGTGTTTCAGTGATCCCAGACACCCTGCAGAGCACGGCCGTCCCCCAGACACTGCACAGAGTGGAACAGGACCCCCTGGAGCTCACTTGTGAGGTGGTCACAGAGACGTTGCAGCACAGCCACCTGTCTGTGGCCTGGCTTCGGCAGAGAGGGGGCGAGAAGCCGGTGGAGGTGATTTCCCTGAGCCGCGACTTCGTGCTTCACTCCAGCAGCGAGTATGCCCAGAGGCAGAGCCTGGGGGAGGTACGGCTGGACAAGCTGGGGAGCACCACCTTCCGCCTCACCGTCTTCCACCTGCAGCCCTCCGACCAGGGCGAGTTCTACTGCGAGGCTGCCGAGTGGATCCAGGACCCAGATGGCTCGTGGTACGCCATGACCCGCAAGCGTTCCGAGGGGACCGTGGTCAACGTCCAGCCCACCGGTCAGTCTCGCTCATCCCCATTCTCTGCCCGCCGCTGCGGGTTGTCACATGCTGCGAGCGTGTGCGGACTCCTTCCCTGGTGGCCTCTGAAAGTCCTAGGAGTGTAGGGGAGCCTACCTGACACCTGACCGAAGTCAGTCTTGGAGACGAGTCCCCCAGTCCGAGTCCCACTTCTGGACCTGGTTCCTTTGACCTCCCTGGAGTTTTATATTTCCTTGAATTACAAATTCATTTTAAGACCTGGGCGATGTCCCATAAACCATTTGTGTCTGAGGACTGGGCTCCCCCGTTAGCCGCGTCGGCTGTCCCCCACTTGGAGGACGCTACCTGTTCTGGGGACCAGTCCTGTTTCATTTGTAAAAGACATTTGACATCATGAGCCTTCCACCAGAGGTATGAAATGACGGTCTAGAGAAATTTCGGCTGAACGTATTATCGTTATATTAATAACGCGTTTCTGGTGGTGGTGTCTGATTTCCGACATGCTTCCTCACCTGTTCCTTGAGTCCCTGAGAAGTTCTGCGAGGTCAGGCAGAGGGGGGACAGGTGCCAGGGGCAGATTGCTTTGTGGCGGGGGCCCCGAGAGAAGGCACGGGGTGGGTTGGCAAGGCCAGCCTGGTGAGGGCCAGATTCTCCCATAAATCTGGGGAAAGAGGAGGCCGAGGGACGTGTTTATAGCTGGGGCAGGAAGATGGTGGCACCGTGAGCCAAGACCAGCCCTGCCTCCACGTATCGGTCCCCTGCAGTCTCACACTGCACTCCCCACTCCTCCAGGCCCAGCCTTGCTCCAGATCAGAGCCGGCCGCTGTCGCTGGCTGCCTCTGCAGGGCAGGGGGTGGCCTCTCTGTGAGCCTTCAGTCCCCTGGCTTTGGCGGCAGGGTGGTGGTTGTGCCATCATCAGGCGCCGCGAGTGGCCCTGGGACCTCCCTCATGTTGCTGCTCACCTCTGGCGAGGGGCTGGCATTGGAGGCGTGGTTTGTGTAAGCGCCACAGTCAAGCTGCATGTCAGTGGGGTCCCCCTTCGGGACCTGTCCTTAAACTCACGGTCCCTTTTGCTACATACCGTTAGTGGCATTGGTCTATGGCCTCGTTCCCGTGTCCCTTGAGCAGCGCTTCTCACTTACCTAACAGTCTGTGTTCCCGAACCAGCCTCCTGGGCTGGGACCAGGGAAGCTGGATTTCCAGGTCCAGTGCCTCTTCCGCCACCCAGGTCGTCAGGCACAGCTCTCCGTTATAGGCAGGGGTGAGTCTCCGGACATCTGACGGGCTTTCACGAGAACAGCTGGCTCCCGGAAAGAGAGTGCTTTATCTGCTCTGTAGGATCCAGAGTGTGTAGCAGCTTCTGGACCTTCCAATACTAAGATATCTGGTGAAGCCGCTTTATTTCGTATTTATCCTCTTCCTTCCTGGATGGTTTTAAGATCAGCTTCAAAAGTCTAGGCCAAATTTTGAATCTTAATGCTTTTAAATGAGGTTGCATCAGTTAATCTTCTTTATTTTAATCTTACCAATTTGGGATTAGGACTTTTCAAATTTGCCCAGCACATGTATTCAGACTAAGCCAGCAAAGGGAAAACTGGATTTCAAAAAAAAAAAAAAAAAGTTGATGATGTTACCCTGTGTCCCTGGGCTCTTGGGGCTCGATGGTCACAGCCCCAACTTTGCCCTTCTCTTAGTTCATTTCAGGAAACATTGGGGAGGTCTGTGCCGCATCGACGGGGTGGCAGAAGGCACTGGGGTTCAAAGATGCACGCCTCTTGGAGGCTGCACTGAGGGAAGGTGCAGATGTTGGGGGGGGCGCTAAGTAGAGTCTACTGAGTGCTGTGGTGCTATTGTGTGTCAAGTGCTCAGGGCCACGGTGACTGGGAAGTGTTGTCACAATGGTAAGTTTTCCCCAGAAGGGAGCATTCAGGCAGATCCAAGAAAGCCAGTGCATTTGGTGAGTTGAGCCAGGTCTGAAGCCTGGAGAGGCATCAGAGGGACAAGCATAAATAGACTCAAAATTGTGTGCTGTGCTTGGCAGGCAGAGAGGAGTCCGGCATTGGGTGAGCTTGTGTCCCGGGAAGGGGCGAGGAGAAGAGGAAGGAGAGGTGGCCTGAAGTTCCACGTATCGTGCTGGAGCTTGGCCTTGACGCCGCAGGCCAAGTGTTTGCAGGCTCTTCTTCCTGGGATCTTAGGAGGCCCTTAGGAGACAGAGAGGTTGCACGTGGAGGTATGTGCATGTCCACGTGTGTGGGTGTGCACAGGAGGGGCTGGAGGAAGGCACGTGAGGGCCATGGCGTCCCCTCGCCTGCTTCAACCAGATGTCGTCTATCTTGGGCACCACAAGATTCTGAAGGAAGAAAGTCCCTTGTCTCTGCCCCCTTCCCCCCCGCCCCCGCCACTGCCTCCCAAGGAGTATTTAAAAATCACTGCTGCAGACACTGAGAGGGGGAAATAGAGACTTTAAAGGAAGGAATGACACAATTAGATCTGGGTTCTGGAAGCAAAAAGCCACGGAGGCCAGCTGGAGCTGAGTGTGGGTCTGACGTGGAGAGATGAGGTAGGAGAGAGCTTTAAGCCCAAGGTCAGGTCGGGAGCAGTGCCTGGAAGGCACGTGGTGAGTGCTAGGGACAGAAGAATAGGGAGCACCACCATGCAAGGGGCGTCTTTGGGATTCCCGGGAACCCGAGGCCAGGGCTCTGGGGGATTCCTTGAATGGGGATGGGGAGGGAAGGGGAAAGTATTGAGAGCACGTAGAGTCCGGCTTCAAAGCCTCTGCTTCCCTGTTGGTGGTAGCACTGGTTGTCTTTGCTTCTGTTTGTCGCTTCATCGAGTCCACCCTGCATGCAGACTCTTAGATTGAGGCTTAGTAGGTGAGGTGCCGTCCATGCGGCATCGGACTCGGAGCTCAGAGGCTGAACCTGGGAGGAATGAGAGCCCCCCACCGTCTCAGCGTGCATGGGTTGCCGTTAGTGGCGACGAGCCCTTCTTTGAGCACCACCACCTCCACCCATTCCTGATCAGACACCCAGTGCTCTGAAGCATGCTTGGGTTCACTGTGCGTCTCAGAGGTTATTAGCTTTCAGTGGAAGTTGGTATTTCTACTCTCCCTCCTTCTTGAGATTTGATCTGATGGGACCATTGTGGGGAGGCCCTGGTTTTCACCTTGCCCATGGACTGTGTTAAGGGTTGTCTTACCTGTGTCTAAGTGCCAGCGCTCACACGGGGGCTGAAGACCATGTTTCAGCTCACGTATGTTTGGGAGCGTTTATGGGGCTCGGGGTAGGCGCTGTGTCGTTTTGTCTCACGCGGGTCAATGGGGGTGAGTCCTCCGACATCTGCGGGAAAGGTTTGCAGTCCTGCAGTGTAAATGGAGTTATGGGCGTGTCGATCCAGGGGAGGCCCGGGCAAGTGATGCCAGGAATGCTAGCCCCTGACTCTGAGCCCCACCCATTTAACTGAGATAAAAGCCCCTTAGACTGGATCTAGCAACGTTTTGAGTTCTGTCTTTGACCTTCAGGAGTTTCTCTGGTCCTCATATCCCCTGAACGGGCATTGGATTTTTCTCTCAAGACCAGGGGGATGCACTGTGGGTAGCACTTTAAAGAAGGCATAGGTGGTGGCAATTTGCCAACACGGTTGGGTCAGCCGGGGGCCCTCACTCACCCGCAAGGCCTCTGTTTTGTTCCTTTGTTCTCTTAGACAAAGAGTTCACCGTGCGGCTGGAAACAGAGAAGCGGCTGTACACAGTGGGTGAACCAGTGGAGTTCAGATGCGTCCTGGAGGCCCAGAACATTCCCGACCGTTACTTTGCCGTCTCCTGGGCCTTCAACAGCTCGCTCATTGCCAGCATGGGGCCCAATGCGGTGCCCGTCCTCAACAGTGAATTCGCCCATCGGGAAGCCCGGGGCCAGCTTAAAGTGGCCAAAGAGAGCGACAGTGTCTTTGTGCTGAAGATCTACCACCTCCGCCAGGACGACAGTGGAAAATACAACTGTCGTGTGACTGAGAGAGAGAAAACGGTCACCGGGGAATTCATCGACAAGGAGAGCAAGCGGCCCAAGAACATCCCCATCGTCGTCCTCCCCATCAGTAAGTAGAGAGGTGTGCTGTCTCCTTCGGCTCCCCGTGGTCCGGTCTGCAGCCGGCGCCAGGGGACAGCTGAGCTGTGGGGGGGGAAGGGGAGCGTAGGGGAGGGGCAGGCGGGGCACCTGGAACTCGAGGGTTCAGTTAGCACTGGCAGAGAAACCCAGTTTGCCTCTCTCCCTGCTCTCCAGCTCGCCTGCCCACACTTAGCAGCCCCCAGTTAGACAAAGCACCGGGGGGGTGTCTGCAGGCTGGAGGGGGCGCCTGGATCCGAGCAGTAGCTGCCCTCTGTAAACACCAGCAGCACCAGCTCAGCTTAGAGGAACATCAAGAGCCCAGGACGGCCGTTTGCTCCCATGTGGGAATTAATTCCCAGAAGGACCGGGTAGATACCTACCTTGACATCTCACTTAGGAGGGTTGGTCTTTTTATGGGAGGCTTTTCAGTCAGAAAGCACATTCTTAAAAAGGATCTGCCGGCTGGGTTTGGGGCTGGGTATAAGGGCTCTCTTAAATGTCTCTTCCCTATTGCAATCGCGTTTTCCAGAGTCAGTGGGCGGGACCTCTCTTTCTGTCTTCCCGGAGCATAGCCTTCCTTTTAAAGCTGAGCCAGTTTCGAAGTAAGCATGGCGGGCTCCCACCTCCATGTAGCTGGCCTCGTCTGGGTCTGGGTGGGTAACGGTTGCTGTGGCGGGAGGCTCGGCACGACCTGGGTTTGCTCAGCCACGGGTATCGTGGGTATCATGAGTATCACGATGTTTTCATTAACATCTCAATTCTCTCCTCATCTTGTTTTTAGTAAAAAGAGAATTAAACTGATAATGCCCTGATTGGAAACCACACAGGGACATTTTTGAAACTAACCTTTAACCTTTTCTCAACTACTCAAACTGTTCCTCCCCTCACCCCCCCCCCCCAGCCCTGTGATGATTCCCTTTACGTTTTTATTTACGCTCTGATGTTTTTGAACTAGTTCTCTTCAAGTGAGAAGGAAAGTGTAGACACGGGGTCTTGCCCACTTCTGTCTTTTCTCACCAACAGGGTTCCTTTCTTCCGTACTTACGTATTTATTTTTTAATCTCTCACACACACCTAATTCTCTTGAAATTATTTTGTTTCTTAGACTTTTTTTTTTTGTTTTTTCTCTGCAATGCCTAGCATGGTGCTTTGCATAGGGTAGGTGCTTGCTGACTCTTTGTCGAGTTGAAATTGTTGAATTGAATGCCCCTTCTCCTGACTGTTTCCCTGTCGGTTTGTGCTTGCCTTAACCACGGACTCTCTGTTTTTAAATCTGCAACTAATTCCTCATTGTTAAAGATCCAGGGAAGGGCAGCGGCGCTGTTTACTTCCTATATCTTTTATACTAAGAGATTTCCCCCAACCCCTTCCAAGAACTTGTTTGATGATCTGTGGCCTGCTATATTGCTTTTCCAGCAGATAACTGGGTAGTTAAAGTCCCTCAGCACCACCAGATCCTGCCCCAAGGCCACTTGGGTAAGTCTACCAAAGAACAATGATCACGTCGGTAATGGTGATAATACCTTGGATCTTAATGGCACTTTTCCTCTCAAGAGCCCACCGTGCTTCTGCATCTAGCACCTCCTTTCCCGCTCCCAGCCCTCAAATCCCTGTAGAGGCCAGCGGTCTCTCCATCCTGTGAATGAAGAAGCCAGAGCACTGTGCAGAGAGGCACTCCGCCCGTTCTGTTCATGGTTGAGCGTGCATTGCATTAGAAACCTTTGCTCTGGACTCCGGATCCAGTGCTCTGCGCTTAAGCTATATACGATCCCACCCACCTCCTGATTTGAAATCTCATCTGTGCACACGCAGTCAGAGTCTCATTAGTTCTGTCCTAGTTTTCACTTAATCCGGAGAGTTTTACAGTGTCAGCTTGCCTTTTCTCAGGCCCGGGAGTGAGTCCTCAGAGGCAGCGCCGCACCCTGTTTGTATTTGCCCCTGCCTGGCCTGCCCGTCTGGTTTCTCCCTCCGTAGGGCCAGCTCTAACCGTGTGGTTCTTCCGGGCTTGCTGGAGCCATGGAGTCCCCAACAGCAGCCCTCACTGTACACAAGCCTGGGCTCACGGAAGAGAGTCCACCGGGGTGGTGGTGGGGAATGGCAGGGAAACCCTGCAAGTCATTCCTCTGCTTGAGACAGAGAGATTTCCATTCCCTGATGCTGGAGTTGTTCTTTTTTTTTTTTTTATGATTTATTTATTTTTGAGAGAGAGATTGCGAGTGGGAGAAGGGCAGAGAGAGAGAGAGAGAGAGAGAGAGAGAATCTGAAGCAGGCTCCAGGCTCTGAGCTGTCAACACAGAGCCCCACGCGGGGCTCGAACTCAGGAGCTGTGAGATCATGACCTGAGCCCAAGAGGGACGCTCAACCGACTGAACCCCCAGGCGCCCCCGGAGTTGTCCTTTGATGCCCCACATGGAATGACAATGCTGGGGTTGAGTCTTTAGCCTGAAGAGCAAGTATGAATAATGACGATGGTGACAAATAACTACCCTCTCCAGCATTGTCGGTTCTATGGCCCCAAGAAGTAGGAACGCTGTGTGTCTCCATTTTGCACGTGGGAAAAGGAAGTGTGGGTAGGTTAAGGAAGAACCCCAAGATCCCAGAGTTAGGAAGCAGTACATTCGGCCTCGAGCCCCAGACTGTCGGGGCTGCCCGACCTCCAAATCCACACTTTGAGCCACTGAGTGCCGTAGCTGGTGGCTAACCAGGAGCCTGTCGTCTCTGTAAGCCATCCTGGTACGGCTCCTGGGAAGGCTGCCCCCTGGGGAACTCGGACCCTGCCCAGACCTATGTCTCACCTGAAAGAAGCCAACCTACAGTCGGTACAGGCATCCTCACCCTAACAGAAGCTACCTGCTGGGGCTCGGGGCTCGTCTCTGTCTGTTTCTGTCTGTTTCTGCCTGTGGGGGGAAATACAGGGGAGCAAAGACTGATTCAAATGCATGGTTGTGGGTGGGTGGGTGGGTGTCTGTGTGTGTGACCCCGCCCCCCTCAATAATCGGGTATGCCTCTTAATCGGGGATTTGACTTAATTGATTACTTTTAAATTGTTGTGTTTCATGTGAGTGGTACCTGGGAAATTGAAGCCAAATTAATTATGACGCTTTGCATTTTTTAATACTTGGTTTTTTTTTTTAACTTCACGTAGATAGTCCTACAAAATAACGTACGCATGGTGAAGGCAGGTTAGACCACCGTGGTGTTTATAAAAACAAAAGTTATTTGGAATAGGAAAGTTCATCATGATCACCAGTGACGAGTTTTCTAAAACCTGCTATGTGTCAGGTGATGGATCGCATTGTCTTGTTAACTTTGTAATCTGTAAAAAAAAAAAACTGCACAGCAGGGACCACAGCATCCCTGTGTTGTAGAAGAAGGCATGTAAATCTTGAATAATTCGATCCAGTGCCCTCAGAGCTCAGGGACTAGCAAAGGATCAGAGAGAGTGGAATCCTTAGCCAAAACTGATTGGCAGGATGTTTTAGGGTCAGGGTAGCAGAACCAGGGCTGAATGTGGGCGGCGGGGTGGAGGGCCGTTATCTGTCTGCAAGGAACGGCGGGAAGATGGAGGTGACGGAGAAATTTCTGAGTTCCTCAACTTCCCGAAATTCCAAGCTGCAAAATCCTCGACCCCCAGCTGAACAGATGACCTGATGCGTGGCTTTACGTCCTGAGTGGAACGTCACTGTGTGGTATTTCGGAGGTTCTGATTCAGTCTCGGGTCTTAGACCCTCAGTATCGTCATGTTGGTCCCCCGCAAAGGGCCTCCGAGGCTATGGGGGGCCTCCTAAGGTCGTGGGGAGCAGTGCCCAGAGGCAGCCAGGGCTCGCCGCGGCAAGTGTCAGGGAGCTTTTTCTCCTCCAAGGTGAAGCGCACCTGCCTAGCGTGACGTCCGCACCCGTCCTCCTTCACCCGTGGGGGGCAGGGGCGGTAGGGACCCCAGCGCCCCAGCGCAGCACTCTCTCCCTCTTCCCAGAGAGCAGCGTCTCCGTGGAGGTGGCGAGCAACGCCAGCGTCATCCTCGAGGGGGAAAGCCTGCACTTCTCCTGCAGCGTCCGCACGGCGGGCCGGCCGCAGGGCCGCTTCTCCGTCATCTGGCAGCTCGTGGACAGGCAGAACCGTCGCAGCAACATCATGTGGCTGGACCGCGACGGCACCGTGCAGCCGGGCGCGGCCTACTGGGAGCGCGGCAGCTTCGGGGGCGTCCAGATGGAGCAGGTGCAGCCTGGCTTGTTCAGCCTGGCCATCTTCCACAGCCGGAAGGAGGACGAGGGCCAGTACGAGTGCCACGTGACCGAGTGGGTGCGGGCAGTGGACGGCGAGTGGCAGATCGTGGGGGAGCGCCGGGCCAGCACCCCCGTCGCCATCACGGCTCTCGGTAAGGAGGCGCCCGGCGTGGGACTGTAGGGAGACGGCTCCTGCCTCAAGTGCCCTGCCCTGGCTTTTGTCAAGAGTCCTGGCAGGAAACAGATGGCCCCTTCCAGAGGGTTTAGTTGAAGGGACCGTGTACGGAAGTGCAGGTAGGGTTGGCAGGGCCAGTGGTGCACGGTGGGGCCCCTGGGGGCCTGCTGACGGCTAGCGGTGGTCACTCTTCCTGGGTCAGGTCTGCATGGTAGGAGTCACGTTCCAAGAATTCTGGCTTCGGAGTGAGGCCACCCAGCAGGAGCAGTGGCCCCAGGGTGGGGGACCGTGGTCCCTGCCAATACTGGCATGAAAAATCAGAACCTCTCTCGCCTGTTCCCCCCCCCCCCCCCAGGCTCTCCTGCCCTGCAGCCTAGGAGCTCAGTCCTCCTCAAAAGGCCAGAGCAGAGGGAAGAAAACCCCTTTTACTTAGCATTTACTATGTTCATGCTAAGCACTTGAGCTTAATTGTCCCCTTTGAATTCTCACCTAACCAAGAGCTCAGCACTTTGATTTTACCAGGAGCCTGAGGGAGACAGGTTAACTAGTTTGCCCAGGGCCACAGCTTCTAAAGGACGGACCTGCAGTCTGAACTGGGGAGGTCAGGGATCTCTCTCCATTGTCCCCCCTCCCCCCAAGCCTGTGCTTTTATCTCTTCCTCTACAAGGCCCCACCCTTAGGAAAGCCACCTTCTTGTTAGCATGAAATTAAAAGATATCTTGAGATTTGCTAAAACCAGAGAATTAGATTTGCTTCGCACGGGGGTAGTTAAGGAGGCTTCTATCAGCATTTATCCGCCCAATATAATCAGGAGATTAAATTTTAAGAGGCCAGTCTGCTACCTGTTATCATGTTAGGTCTTCCTGTTTATCAGGGCAGCTGTGACATCTTGTCCTCAGTGACTGTGTGTCCCACTCCCTGGGACCACGTTGCCCACCAGCCTCCTAGCTAGAGTTGGTGACGTTTTTAGGTACACCCCAGTAAGGATGCAGCCCCTCAACACGGTGCTCTATGCTCCCCATCCGAGATTAGAGTTACACTTTTTGTTCTGAAAGCTTAATCCCAAAGGTTGGCCTGCTCCTTGCCGTAATCGCATTGTTCAGCTTTCTGGCTTTAGAAACTTGGTCCAGTGGTGAGTTCGCCAATGAGCTCAGTCCCCAGACCTGTGCTCAGCACCAGCATGGACCTTTGGAGATCCCTGGATGTCCAGCAACGGTCATTTTCCCCACCCTACAAGGTTAGGAATGTCCAAGGAGTAGTCACAATCTCTCAGGTTATCCCCCTGACGTCTGTCATACTCACCATATGTCTGTGGTTCCCGTAGTCAGGGTCACCAAGGGCTCTTACCTGGGATCCTGGGGCTTGGCTCTGCCTACCTGTTTTCAACCCCTGGGGTGCCTCTGGCCAAGGCTGAGATTAGGGTGGCCCAAGGAGGGGATGGCAGGGAGGAGTGGGGGGCAACATGGGGGTCAGGTTGCCTTTCAGTCTACATAGCGACACACATGCGTTTTCATGCAGGTGGGATCAGGTCACTGTCAGCAGGTGCCCAGGCGGGACACCCTCCAACCACACGTGGGCCGTTAGGACCGTGTGGTTAGAGTGAATGGGATGCTCTGTGCACCGTGATTGAGGCCTTTCAGGCTAGACGCAGTCATTTGCTTGGAGAAGCTCTCTCTGCTTTGGATGACATCGTTGGATGTTGGGGCCAGGAACCCCTAGGGCGTGTCCCATCCCTAAGGTCCTGTGTCCTGTCTTGCCACATAGTCTGCACACAGGGGCACAAGTGACCATCACAACTACTTAACGTTTAAGGATGGGTCTCTGGGTCTTGATTTTTTTTTTTTAATAAGGATACATAAAGAAGCTCATGGAAGTCCAAACTGGAGATCCAGTTTTCAGCAAATTATTTCTACTTATTTGCTGAATTCACCTCCTTACCTACAGCCAAAAGATGCATTCTGTGCATAGTCTTTTACCTACAGATTTCAAAGTACTTTCCTTTGTGTCTCCTTTGTTCCTTTATGTAGTCAGCAAAATACAGCATGGGCCAGGTCCTATCCCATTCCTAACGTGTTGCAAATGTTAATCATCCAAATACATTGGCGAATATTAACTCCCTTAATCTTCATAAGGACCCATTTTACAGATGGGGAAATTGAGGCAGAGAGAAGTGAAGTAACTTGTTCACTGTCACACAGCCTACAAAGACCAAAGTCGGGCATCTGGCGCTGGGGTCTGTGCCTTGAACCACTTCCTGTGGGTAAAACCATCTGACGAGACCCCCCAACCCTGCCATTTCCTAGCCGCTTGATTGTGGGCAATTTATTTACCCTCTCTGGGCCCTTCCTTGTTTGTAAGAAATGGGTGAGACGCCTTCTTGTCCTGTGAGATCATTTGGAGGCTGCAGTGACGAGTGGCAGAAGCACAGCGGTTGGCCCCGCGCCTGGCACACAGCGCTCAGCAAACACTGGCTGTTCCCAGTCTTATGGTCATAACCCACGTATTAATGAGTAGTGTTTCATGGTGGAGGAGCTCAGATGACCCCCGCTGAGTCGGTATCAGGGATCAGCCTGCTGCCGTCAGGAAGGGTATTGACAGAGCCCGTGGCTTGCTGCTTCTGCAGTCCTACCTGCTCAAGGTCAGGCCACCTGCTGTGGGTGCCTCACTGCCCATCTTCCCTGCGGTCCACAGAGAAGGTGGAAGAGGGATGGCAGGCGGGTACTGCCTGGCCCGGGGAACAGGCGACAGGTGCTCCCTCTGCCTCCCCTGGTCTAGTCCCGGTGCCCTGCAGGCCACACGGACCAGGGCTCGGGGGCTGTGTCCACCTTGATGTCCTTGACCTGGGGGCTTCTTTCTTCTGTTTCAGCATGAAGTCCCAAAATGTGTAGGAAGAGCTCTGCCTAGGTATCCCCAGTCCGTGGGAGGGGCTGCTGGGAGGCGGATCCACCGGAAGGCTTCACCGGAAAGGGTTTGCCAAGCAGAATTGGCCTCCGTGTGTGGGGTCTTGTGATCTTGTGGGCTCCAGTGCGAGCTCAGAGAGACGCAGAGCCTCGTTCTGTCCCGCGGGCTGTGCCGGAGGCGCCCCCCCCCCCCCACCGCACTGCCCTGAGAAATCCTAGCGGTTCCCCCAGCCGGAGTCTCTCTGCTCTCTCTCCAGAAATGGGCTTCGCGGTCACGGCCATCTCCCGCACGCCGGGCGTCACCTACAGCGACTCCTTTGACCTGCAGTGCATCATCAAGCCCCATTACCCGGCCCGGGTCCCCGTGTCCGTGACGTGGCGGTTCCAGCCAGTTGGCACCATCGAGTTTCATGACCTGGTGACCTTCACCCGGGACGGAGGGGTCCAGTGGGGGGACAGGTCCTCCAGCTTCCGGACCCGAACGGCCATCGAGAAGGCCGAGGCCAGCAACAACGTGCGCCTGAGCATCAGCCGAGCCAGCGACACGGAGGCGGGCAAGTACCAGTGTGTGGCCGAGCTGTGGCGCCGGGAGTACAACAACACGTGGACGCGCCTGGCGGAGCGGACCTCCAACCTGCTGGAGATCAGGGTGCTGCAGCCAGGTCAGGGGGCCCGGGGGGCTGGGAGGGGGCGCCCGGCACGCGGCGGGGGGAGAGGGGCAGCTGGCAGGGGGCGGCCAGCAGGTGGTGGGGGAGGGAGGGAGGCGCCCGGCACGAGG